AAGTAGAGACACTACATATGATATACACCTGAACATCAGCAGGAGAGAACTCTTTAAAGTAGAGACACTACATACTGATATACACCTGAACATCAGCAGGAGAGGACTCTTTAAAGTAGAGACACTACATACTGATATACACCTGAACATCAGCAGGAGAGAACTCTTTAAAGTAGAGACACTACATACTGATATACACTGAACATCAGCAGGAGAGGACTCTTTAAAGTAGGACACTACATACTGATATACCTGAACATCAGCAGGAGAGGACTCTTTAAAGTAGAGACACTACATACTGATATACACCTGAACATCAGGAGGAGAGGACTCTTTAAAGTAGAGACACTACATACTGATATACACCTGAACATCAGCAGGAGAGGACTCTTTAAAGTAGAGACACTACATACTGATATACACCTGAACATCAGCAGGAGAGGACTCTTTAAAGTAGAGCACTACATACTGATATACACCTGAACATCAGCAGGAGAGGACTCTTTAAAGTAGAGACACTACATACTGATATACACCTGAACATCAGCAGGAGAGGACTTCTTAAAGTAGAGACACTACATACTGATATACACCTGAACATCAGGCAGAGAGGACTCTTTAAAGTAGAGACACTACATACTGATATACACCTGAACATCAGCAGGAGAGGACTCTTTAAAGTAGAGACACTACATACTGATATACACCTGAACATCAGCAGGAGAGGACTCTTTAAAGTAGAGACACTACATACTGATATACACCTGAACATCAGCAGGAGAGGACTCTTTAAAGTAGAGACACTACATACTGATATACACCCTGAACATCAGCAGGAGAGGACTCTTTAAGTAGAGACACTACATACTGATATACACCTGAACATCAGCAGGAGAGGACTCTTTAAAGTAGAGACACTACATACTGATATACACCTGAACATCAGCAGGAGAGGACTCTTTAAAGTAGAGACACTACATACTGATATACACCTGAACATCAGCAGGAGAGGACTCTTAAAGTAGAGACACTACATACTGATATACACCCTGAACATCAGGAGGAGAGGACTCTTTAAAGTAGAGGACACTACATACTGATACACACCTGAACATCAGCAGGAGAGGACTCTTTAAAGTAGAGACACTACATACTGATATACACCTGAAATCAGCAGGAGAGGACTCTTTAAAGTAGAGACACTACATACTGATATACACCTGAACATCAGCAGGAGAGGACTCTTTAAAGTAGAGACACTACATACTGATATACACCTGAACATCAGCAGGAGAGGACTCTTTAAAGTAGAGACACTACATACTGATATACACCTGAACATCAGCAGGAGAGGACTCTTTAAAGTAGAGACACTACATACTGATATACACCTGAACATCAGCAGGAGAGGACTCTTTAAAGTAGAGACACTACATACTGATATACACCTGAACATCAGCAGGAGAGGACTCTTTAAAGTAGAGACACTACATACTGATATACACCTGAACATCAGCAGGAGAGAGGACTCTTTAAAGTAGAGACACTACATACTGATATACCACCTGAACATCAGCAGGAGAGGACTCTTTTAAAGTAGAAGACACTACATACTGATATACACCTGAACATCAGCAGGAGAGGACTCCTTTAAAGTAGAGACACTACATACTGATATACACCTGAACATCAGCAGGAGAGGACTCTTTAAAGTAGAGACACTACATACTGATATACACCTGAACATCAGCAGGAGAGGACTCTTTAAAGTAGAGACACTACATACTGATATACACCTGAACATCAGCAGGAGAGGACTCTTTAAAGTAGAGACACTACATACTGATACCCACCTGAACATCAGCAGGAGAGGACTCTTTAAAGTAGAAGACACTACATACTGATATACACCCTGAACATCAGCAGGAGAGGACTCTTTAAAGTAGAGACACTACCTACTGATATTACACCTGAACATCAGCAGGAGAGGACTCTTTAAAGTAGAGACACTACATACTGATATACACCTGAACATCAGCAGGAGAGGACTCTTTAAAGTAGAGACACTACATACTGATATACACCTGAACATCAGCAGGAGAGGACTCTTTAAAGTAGAGACACTACATAACTGATCTAACACTACATACTGAACATCAGCAGGAGAGGACTCTTTAAAGTAGAGACACTACATACTGATATACACCTGAACATCAGCAGGAGAGGACTCTTTAAAGTAGAGACACTACATACTGATATACACCTGAACATCAGCAGGAGAGGACTCTTTAAAGTAGAGACACTACATACTGATATACACCTGAACATCAGCAGGAGAGGACTCTTTAAAGTAGAGACACTACATACTGATATACACCTGAACATCAGCAGGAGAGGACTCTTTAAAGTAGAGACACTACATACTGATATACACCTGAACATCAGCAGGAGAGGACTCTTTAAAGTAGAGGACACTACATACTGATATACACCTGAACATCAGCAGGAGAGGACTCTTTAAAGTAGAGACACTACATACTGATATACACCTGAACATCAGCAGGAGAGGACTCTTTAAAGTAGAGACACTACATATGATATACACCTGAACATCAGCAGGAGAGGACTCTTTAAAGTAGAGACACTACATACTGATATACACCTGAACATCAGCAGGAGAGGACTCTTTAAAGTAGAGACACTACATACTGATATACACCTGAACATCAGCAGGAGAGGACTCTTTAAAGTAGAGACACTACATACTGATATACACCTGAACATCAGCAGGAGAGGACTCTTTAAAGTAGAGACACTACATACTGATATACACCTGAACATCAGCAGGAGAGGACTCTTTAAAGTAGAGACACTACATACTGATATACACCTGAACATCAGCAGGAGAGGACTCTTTAAAGTAGAGACACTACCTACTGATATACACCCTGAACATCAGCAGGAGAGGACTCTTTAAAGTAGAGACACTACATACTGATATACACCTGAACATCAGCAGGAGAGGACTCTTTAAAGTAGAGACACTACATACTGATATACACCTGAACATCAGCAGGAGAGGACTCTTTAAAGTAGAGACACTACATACTGATATACACCTGAACATCAGCAGGAGAGGACTCTTTAAAGTAGAGACACTACATACTGATATACACCTGAACATCAGCAGGAGAGGACTCTTTAAAGTAGAGACACTACATACTGATATACACCTGAACATCAGCAGGAGAGGACTCTTTAAAGTAGAGACACTACATACTGATATACACCTGAACATCAGCAGGAGAGGACTCTTTAAAGTAGAGACACCACATACTGATATACACCTGAACATCAGCAGGAGAGGACTCTTTAAAGTAGAGACACTACATACTGATATACACCTGAACATCAGCAGGAGAGGACTCTTTAAAGTAGAGACACTACATACTGATATACACCTGAACATCAGGATAACAGGGCCTCTTTAACACTTTAGACATACTTTTTTAGGTGTTTTGAAACTTTTTTTCTTCCCCATTTCTGCCAAAAATACACAGTTTAGACAATATTTTAAATAATATATACGCTTCAGGGTCCCATGAGAAACTTTGATAACCGTACTGTTAACATCAGTTGCAGTTTGGAGCTCCATGCTGAGAGGAAGTGAGTGCTAGTGGAAATGTGTATTGATCCTCACCAGTGAGGTATTGATGAGCAGAGAGTGGGATGTGACATCAGCTCGTATCGACTGCCGCTCTAATAACTCTGTTTCCATGAGCTTCACTCTGACTGCAGGGAACAAATACAAACCATAACAACAAAATGTTTTTCACAACAAACGCAGAATCTATTGATGCTCGGCTGCAACACAAACGTCCTGCAACAAAAGCTGGTTAAACTTGACTTTAATGCATAGTTGGAAACACTAACTGGACGTCCAATGATGCAGCAAAGAGGACTTTCACAAAAACTGCATTTCCACTTAATATTTGAGCTTTTTAAACAATAGCATTTAGTTTTTCAATGATCAATGGTGATACTTAGAAAGCAGGGCAGTTAATGTATAACTCCAATATATTGTTGGTATTTTTAGCATCTTGCAAAACACAACAATTTAAACACTGTAAACAAATTGCAGAACTTAAATTAGCATTTATTTTACACTGTGACTTTCTGCATGTTCTCCGCTTTTGCTTTAGCATTTCTACACTCTGTCTGCAGCGCATTCATTTGAAATACAAATATGTAACCAACCCCAAAAAATATAATGTTTTTTGCCAAAAACTGAGCTAAAATGGACTTCTATTAATCCCAGAGGGGAAATACAGTTTTCTCTTTATTGTTAGTATGCAATTGCAGTGTAATTTGCCAACCCTCCCGATTTTCGCGGGAGACTCCCGATTTTATTGCCCTCTCCCGGTTTCCTCCCGGGGTCATATTTCTCCCGCATTTCTCCCGATTTCTGACAAAATCAGATTTACTCACGACTGTTTCCACTCTGACTTTATTACAGCTACACCATTGTTTGGTTTCCAGGGTAGCGCGTCTCTTTAGTAGCGCGCGCAACTGAAGTCTGAGAGGGTGAGGCAGATAGTCAAGAAAACAGAACAAAAATCGACAATACTACCCTCTGCTCACTCCTTCCCTTTCCAGCCCACACATATGCTGGTGCTACAGGCCGCAAGGCAGTGCACTTACAACTACAATACGCGTCTAATACATCTAATCTAATACAGCTCCGGCGATCCACTAGCACCCCCGCACCCCCCGCAGTGGTTTTGGAAATGCTTCCGAATTTCTGAGGTATCAAGGTTGGCAAGTATGAGTGTAACACTAAAGTGAAAGTGTGTAATTATGACACACAAGCCCGAAATACAGACACATGCACAAACAAGACCCATATAGAAGCACTGATGAAGAGGCGGTAGAGCGAAGAGGCTGCCAGTTATTAACATTTCTGTTTAAGACAAAGCTTTGAATGACATGTTTTAATGTATATTGTGTGTGTGTGTGTGTGTGTGTGTGTGTGTGTGTGTGTGTGTGTGTGTGTGTGTGTGTGTGTGTGTGTGTGTGTGTGTGTGTGTGTGTGTGTGTGTGTGTGTGTGTGTCCTCAGGCTGCGGGACAACGAGCAGCATTCCCTCGCCCTGCAGCAGGAGAGAGAGTTCTTCTCGTCTCAGGCCCACGCTCTGCAGCAGTCCCTCTCTCAGCTCACGGTGGACAAACAGCAGACTGAGGCCGAGCTCAAGGTGACTCAGCACGTCTCTGCAAGCATGACTCAGCAGAAAACACTCAATGTCAGCGGGGAGGTCACAGACAGGGAGATAAAAGAGAGAAATCATGCAAAGTAATCGGCCAGAAAGTTGTATACGTAGCTCAACCTGAGGCACAATTACAAAAAAAGGGCACAATTTCAGAATATCAGTCAATGACGCCCCCTTTGCATTTGGCTTTTTATTGATATGTATTCATTATAATTGTTTTTGCACACACACACACACACACACGCAAGCATGCACACACACATACACACACACACACACACACACACACACACACACACACACACACACACAGACACGACACAGAAACACACACACACACATTAAGAAGGTGCATGTAGGAAATGTAACTGGTTATGTTTTATGAGCATTGTTTTAATGAATGGATAGTAAAAAGCAAAACAAATAGAAAACTAATTGAGACACACTTTGGGCTTGTCTTTATTATATTCTCATTTATTTCTTATTTAATTTGTTATTGTTAAATTATTGATTTACTCAGTCCTGTGTTTATTGACTTTCATTTGTTTAAACTGAGGTACTTGATGAATACTATGAATGACCTGGAAACGGGGAGGTATTGGTATTTGAGTTTTTTGTGAATGAGAACTGGTGTATAAATGAAGTCTGATTGATTGACTAAATGTTCCCGGTGTGTTTCCTGCTGTTGCTAGGCGGAGATCGAGTCCCGGGTGGAGCTGGAGAAGCGGCTGCAGCAGGCGGAGGAGGCTCTGCAGGATCTGGAGAAAGGTCTGGAGTCTCTGGAGCGAACCAAAGAGACGGAGGAGAAGATGAAGGGAGACGTCACTCAGCTCAGGAGTGAGTGCATTCACTGATATCCCTCCTCCAATATTAACGTCTGACCCGCTGAGCATGGATCTCAGCAGAGCTCTCATCTCGCTGAGAGCCAGTCGCTCTCCATGAGGAAAGCAGCAAGAATATCATGAGCTCCTAGTTCAGAACATGATAAGCATTTGAAGAGATAGTTTGGATGATTTGAATTGGGGTTTTATTGGGTAAATGTCTCCTTTAATTTCTACTAATGATATCGTTTCTTATTTTAAGTACATCCCAAAGCCTGGAGACATTCAGTTTACTGGGACGAATAAAGCACGTTCCTCTCTGATACACTGGGACAAAAGTGATCGTGTGATTTTGCTGGACAATCAACCTGAAAGATTATTTATTTATCAAAAAAAGGTCCACTTACTTACTAAGCCGTTTCCTCATTTTATTTTCACAAAATGACTGATATCATATTTAATATTCTATACGTTTTGTTCGTCGGTAATTACATATTTAAGTCTGACCATTTATATGGAAGTTATTGCTCGATAGTAAATCAGTAGAGTGAATCTGTCATATGCAGCTGAAGGATGTGATGAGTCTGTGGCCTGATGATAACATTAGCTTCCTGTAAACGATGTGTTTCTGATGTGTGTGTTCAGGATTCTTCGAGGACTGCATCAGCGCTGCAGAGATCGAGGCGAAGCTGCCGGCGATAATGAAGAACGCCGTGTATCTGCACAAAGCGGCCGCTCGCAGGATCAAGAGCTGCCGGATCCAGAGGAGAGCGTCCAGACGCCACTGGTGTGAGTCTGAGTTCAGATTACCCCCCCCCCCCCACAGAGTGCATCCACACGTGAACATCAGGCCAGATGTAATTTATGATGTTCAGCTAATGTTTCTGCAGTCTGCAAAGCCTTCCGATACATTTCAATGAAAGCTGCTGCAAGCTCCATGTTTTTTTAAATGCAATACTATGACTTTTTTTCATGTTTTTCTGACACACTATACAACTTGTCAATTTGTTTCAACATACTATACTCTGCAGAGGTGGGAAGTAACTAAGTACATTTACTAAGAACTGCACTTAAGTACAATTTGGAGGTACTTGTACTTTACTTGAGTATTTCCATTTTATGCTACTCTGTACTTCTTCTCCTCTACAGTTCTGAGGTACATGGTGTACTTTTCCTCCACTACATGTATTTAATACCTTTAGTTACTTCACAGATCTGGATGAATGATGTGAAATATAATCAAGTGTTGAATCAGACTTTAGTTCCACCTGGAGTAAATCCACCAGCTACCCTGCAGTATACAAAGTCCTTCAAACTAGCTGCACCTTTACCAGCTTTGAGAACACTTTCATGATCAATCATTATAAAACACATCATATATATTATTCTGAAATGGACCAATCTGCACGACGACTACTTTTACTGTCGCTACTTTCACTATATTTTGATGCTGATACTTTTCTACTTTTACTTGAGGAACATTTTGAATGCAGGACTTTTACTGTAACAGAGTATTCCCTACACTCTGGTACTTCTACTTTTACTCAAGTACAAGATCTGAGTACTTCTACTTTTATTCAAGTACTAGATCTGAGTACTTTTACTCAAGTACAAGATCTGAATACTTTTACTTCAGAACAAGATCTGAGTACTTCTACTTTTACTCAAGTACAAGATCTGAATACTTTTACTTCAGAACAAGATCTGAGTACTTCTACTTTTACTCAAGTACAATATCTGAGTACTTCTACTTTTACTCAAGTACAATATCTGAGTACTTCTACTTTTACTCAAGTACTAGATCTGAGTACTTCTACTTTTACTTCAGAACAAGATCTGAGTACTTCTACTTTTACTCAAGTACAAGATCTGAGTACTTCTACTTTTACTCAAGTACTAGATCTGAGTAATTCTACTTTTACTCAAGAACAAGATCTGAGTACTTCTACTTTTACTCAAGTACTAGATCTGAGTACTTCTACTTTTACTCAAGTACAAGATCTGAGTACTTCTACTTTGACTCAAGTACCAGATCTGAGTACTTCTACGAGATCTGAGTACTTCTACTTTGACTCAAGTACCAGATCTGAGTACTTCTACGAGATCTGAGTACTTCTACTTTTACTCAAGTACCAGATCTGAGTACTTCTACTTTGACTCAAGTACCAGATCTGAGTACTTCTACTTTGACTCAAGTACCAGATCTGAGTACTCCTCCCACCTGATACTCTGATACCCCTCTCTTCTCTCTTCTCAGTGAAACACTCCAAATCCTTCGCAGTAGCGAGCTCTGACGACAGCATGGAGGATCTGCGTGAGACGGCCCGTCGCCTGACCTCTGACAGCAGCTTCAGAGAGAGCGTCTACAAGATCATCGCCCGCCAGGACGCCTCCAACAAACCAGAGGACTGAAGAGAAACCTTAGCTTCACCTCAGTCCAGCATGTGTAGAGACCTGATCACAAACCCATCATTAACATGCTGTAGAGGGAGGTACACAGCAATCTGTTTGATGGAGGCTGTCTAAAGTGTTTGAACTGCTTTCAGTTAGCCAAAGAGTATTTATTAGAAGTGAAAACCCATGTATAATAAGCTATAACATTATGATTATATTCAACGTTAACATGTGGGACCTTATATGTAGCAGATAGCACAGACAATGCAAATCCGTCTTGTAAAATGTTTGTTTTTATTATTCTGGTTTTGATTGTTTGCACAGGTTGTCTCCTTTAATTTAACAGAAGGTTTCATGATAACAATGAACTCACATGTTGGGATTTCCACCTTGCATTATTGCTACATCTTAAAAAACGTGTCCTCGACGAAGCAACTCGATGTCTTTCACTGACGCAAGCATTTAATGACAATGTAAAAATGATAAGTTAACACCAGAATTGATAGAGGAAGGTAAGAGGGAACATGATAAGGACTGATCGACATGCCTTGATGCTAATAAAGCTGTGTTTGAACCTGGTACATGTCGTTTCTGCAGGTAAAAGGCTGTGGGTTTCTGTTCTCAGCAGCACGACACATGGCACTGTTACTGGTTTTCAAATGAAAACGCACTCTTGATATGGATGTTGAGTTTTCCGCTCTGATAAAGTTCAGTGTTGGAAGAAAATGAGGATTGTAGATAGCGTCACCAGCTCTCGTTTATCAGCAGGACCTGCAAGAAATAAAATATAAAGTAGGGTACAGTTAGAATCTAGAGTATAGCATGTCGATAAACCTAAAGGAAAGTCACATTATAGCATCCCTGAATAAAAAAGTAATAGCGTTGTATCTCGAAAAACTAAAAAAAGCCAGTTTTGCAGCATGTTCAAAACATTTTTTTAAAGTCATCGACAAAAAGGCCGTAGTATAGTGTTTCAAATATGTTTAAAATAAGTCATAGATCAGTGATTCTCAACTGGTGGTTCGCGGACCCGTTTCGAGTGGATCGCAGATGTGTGAGTGAAGAAAAAATAAATTGAAATTGTTTGGTTTTATTTTGGAAAAAAAGTCAAACTTTTATTTTGAAGGCCCGATTTTCTAACGCTGTGCATGCAGTCGGCGTTGGACTGGAATTACCGGAGACCATACACGGTTTGAAAACTTCTGTCACGTAGTGATCATCTTCTCAATAAAACATCTTTGCTGATGTTTTTTCGAGTCTTCTGGCCAATCAGAATCAAGAGTGTTCCCGGAAGTCCCCACGGAGAATAACTTTGCGGTAGAACTCTTCTTTATACATCCATGGGTACAACTTCAGATACAAATGAACACATGATGAAATATGACCCCCGGTTTGATGATTGACAGGTCACAGAACAATGGGAGCTATCTACCCTTACCCACAATTTAAAGTAATTCACAGACTCTCTCCTCTTTGCTCTTCTCTCTGTGAGGAGCAGCAAGCTGTCAGAACTAAGTGAAAAACAAACAATGGCATAACATATTATTAATATGTCGGGTAGTAATAGATGTATTTATTTTCTTCTCAGTGTACCAGAATGCGTAGTTTATGTTAGTATTTCTAAAAATCTCCTGGGGGAGAATCCCCCCAGACCCCCTGCTGGGGTTGGGTTTTCAGCATGTGAGCCTTTTGATGTTATACAGTTCATCTTTGATTCCATCATCTCATTAAACCTTATTTAAAGCATACTTTAGTTCTGTGAAGGGATATAAGGGATATATGCACTGCACTTCACTTTCATTAATACTGTATGCTGAAAGGCGTATACATTACAGCACGATTTTTTGTTGAATAGATTTGAGTGGTTCAAAATTTCGGGTCGCGATTTATTGACAAAGGAACAAGTGGGTCCCGAGGCCTGACCAGTTGAGAGCCACTGGCTTAGATTATGTTGAAAAACATGAACATAAACTTGAATAGAATAGTAGGTCAAAAAAAGGTATAGGATAGTATTTAAAATAGTCCCAGTTATTATTAGTTTTAACATTTTAATAGTTGGGGATGACTTTTCTGTCAATTAACTTATCAATTAGTCAACTACTCGCTGCAGCTTCATTACTACTGTTCTTTTTCATTATAATTCAACTGTACACGTTGAATTAGACAAGAGGTATCCACTGGAGCTGTTACTATATTACTGCATTTAAATACAACCTTCTCTAGATTAGCAACCTCGTCCTTTTTGTCGCCATCATAAACGCCGACTATGTGCCGACTCATCCCTTCTTACATCACTCAGATTATCTGCTGGGTCAGCGTGTTTCTGCTCTAAAGCTGCATTTTAACCTCCGTCTGGTTTTTATATCCGTGACGTCGGCAGCTTTCAGACTGTCTGAGAAACGCGGTCTGCTTCCTGGCCACAGATTTGTATATTATATATTTATTTGAATCAGAACCAATCAGATAGAATCAGTCCTGATTATTGACCCTTGGGCTTTTTGATATCGTCTGGAGAACCGATCCAATACCAGGGTTTCATTAAAAAGCCGTATCCATCACTGTGTGGAAGAGACAGCGGTCCTTTTTTAATGTTTAAAGTACGCTTTACTAACCTTTTCTAATACAATTCAAATGGATAAACATTTACTTATTTCCTTATGATTTTTTACCATCTTCAGCATGGAGTTTTTTTTCAAATCTGTTAGTCTGTCAACAGGATAACAGGAAAACTACTGGCCCTATTTTCACGAAACTTGTTTAAAGGCTTTATCATTGGCCATCTAAGAACCCTTTTATTTTTAAATGGATCCAAAAATAGCGGATGGATACACATATTTAACTTTAGATAACATCATGGGATAGGGCATTAATGTGCTCAGGGAATAATCTGAACAAAGAGTTCCCGACTGGAATAATTCACATTAACGCCACCTCAAGTCGAACAGTAATTCTGTAAAAGATATTAACGTGTAGTTTAAACAATCTGAGCAATACATTATTACACATCATCTTTCAAGTGTCCACTATGTTTCCAAATTACAATTTAAAGCTCATTAATAAACCCTACATTGGAAAAATGACTAAACGGGTCAATCTGAGAAGGCCTTGAACGCACCATTCGGCCTCGGCAGATATCCTCTCTCTGAGTGCCATTCAAGTTTACTATAAAAATAATAAATGACCTTTTGAAAAAACTTCAGAAAGCAGCAATAAACGGGTCAAAACTTGAACAGGAATTCAAACTCCAGTGTCCGATATATCTAGTTTATAAAAATAGAGTTTCATTGAAAATATTTGAGTTTACGTCGCTTTATTTCCAGTTTTAAACCCTTTCCGTGTGTCTGAGTGAGGAGCAGGAATGCTGCAGTGTCACCCCCCCCCCCACACAGACGTTTGTACAAAGTGATGGCGTGTTTTTCCAATAGCGCCGAGCAAAGAAACACCAGAACGATCCGGCAGAGAGGCGCTCCGTCGCTCCATTTGTTGACCTATTATTCAGGTTTATTCTATGACTTTCTTTACAACATATTCGACACACTATGACCTTTTGAGTTTTTTTGTTGAACTTTAATATGACCTTTTGAGTTTTTCGACATACTGCTCCATCCTGATTCAGATTGCTATGGCAACACCTCATAAGAGAGCCAACCCCCCCCCCCCATCGTGTGTATCTGCCTTTTCTTTTAATCTGACGGATTGTAGGATCAGCCATGGGCCTTTAAAGCCAGCTGCTGGCTCGCATGTCGGCTCATGAGTGGATGCTTTTTTATTTCTGACTGTCAGTACGGGTCAGTGAGGTCAAGGGTTGTTGTGTTTGAGCTGAAGGGCAGAACAGAAGGAAGCAATAACAACTCGTACCTGTTGACCTTGTCCTCACTGTTTACTGGGAGGTGTTTGAAGGGAGTACGAGGGGGGGGTCCTGGTCCTCTGGTGCTCCATCAGTTGTGCACACGGCCCTCCTGTCAGCAGCTCCGTACAGACGAGAGTATCCATGCTTTTTATAGCTGTGTCACAGAAAGGATCCTGCACTAGCTTCGGGGTCTGAAACCCATTTGTGATTATTCCCTCTCAGAGGAGCGCTTCCTTAAAAGCCTCTGCAGTTGTGCTTCCTGGTAAACAATGACTCTTTTCATTCCTGCACAGCTTCCAGTCCGGTAGCTGAACATAGACAGAAGGCAAGAAGAAGGGGGGGGGGGGGGGGGGGGGGGGTTTGCTGCAGCCCTCTACCCACTTTTCCTCTGATATGAAGTGAATGTACGTGACATACAGGCTTTACTGTCCACTTATAATAAAGTGTCATTACATCCACGATACAAAATGATTTGGTTTGCTCAGAAACAATAATAACGCCAGCTGATGGGGGATGATATGTCAGGGAATAAATAACACTGTTGTGAGAAAAGGTAAAGCTGTTTGATGACGAGGCGACAGGACGTGACCTCAGAGTTTACTGTCGTTCAGGCTGGCTTTGAGCTGAGCCTCCAGAGCCATCTTATCAAAGGTCCGCATGTTGGTCTCCTCCCTCACCTTGTCCCGGACGTGGAAGGAGGCCTGGGCCACGGAGCGAGCGCTCTCCAGCACCGCCCTCTTCTCCTTGAAGATCTGCTCGCTCTTCTCCAGCTTCCTCTCGATGGACTGCAGCAGCTCCGTCCTCTTCTGCTTCTCCTCCTCCTCCACCCGCTGCCTGTTGACTTTCTGCAGCTTCTCCTTCTCCTGCCGGCTCTGAACGGCGCGCTGAGCCTTCTCTTTCGACCGAACTTCAGCCACCAGCGCCGCCTGCTGCGCTCGTTTCTCCGCCTCCTTCACACGGGCCTCCAGGAGCTGCTGCTGCTGTTTCTCCCGTTTCTCCGCCGCCTTGCGAGCCTTCAGGATCTGCTTCTCCTCGCGCTTGGCCTTCTCCTTCAGCTCCTGGCCTCTGCGCTCCACGATGTGTTCGTAGTTCTCCAGGGAGCGGCTGAGCTTCCCCTCGGCCGCCCGCCTGGCCTCCTCCCTCTCCTCCTGCTCTCTGCGGGCGATCTCCTGGATCAGGGCGGCGTGGCGTCTCTTCTCCGCCTTGTTCAGCCCCCGCCGGTCCTCCTGGCTCCGGTGCTCCTTCTCCTGCCTCTTGAGCTCGGCCATGGTGAGCTTCTCCTTCAGCAGCAACCTCTCCTGCTCCAGCATGGCGGCCCGGTCCTCATCCCTTGCCTTCAGGTTCTGCTCCTGCAGGGACTTCTTGTGCTTCTCCTCACGAGCCGCCTGCTGCAGCCTCAGCAGCCGGCTGCGCTCCTGCTGCTCCGCCAGCTCCCTCCAGCGCTCCTCGCTCTCCTCCGCCTGGCGCATCTTGGCGGCGGTGGACAGTCTCTCCTGCTGGCTGAGCCTCCTCTGCCGGGTGGAGACCTGCGACTGCCAAGCCCTCTGGCACTGCAGCACCGCCCGCTGCTTCTCCCGATCCTCCTGCTCTCTCCGCAGCTCGTCCATCCTCCGCTCGCTGTCCCACTGCAGGTGAGCCACGTAGCGCGTCTGGCTCATGATGTCCTCCTCTTGGTATCTGGCGAGCATCAGCGCCGCGATCTTTCGGTCCCGCTCGGACACCGCCTTCAGGCCGCGGCGCTTCACCTCCTTCACGATGCGCTCCACCTTCTGCATGGTCTGCAGGGAGTGGCTGAGGTCCCCCAGGCTGAGGCTGCGGCCCATCAGGGAGTTGAAGGTGGCCATGGTGCGAGCGCGAGGACTGGAGGCCTTCGCCCAGTGATCCCGGACGCCTTCCCAGCTGTAAGAGGAGGAGGCGCCGGACTCTGAGGAGGTGCAGGTGGTGGTGGTGTTGGAGGTGGAGGAGGGATCCATGCGGCGCTGCAGGGACTCCAGCGAATGGCTTTTTGATTGCACCTTGGACTCGAGGGCAAGATGTCCGTTGTGCTGAGAGACCGTCGGTCCTGAGACGCCGTTCAGAGGCTTGGTCATCGAGGAGGTGAGGCTGGACTTGGCTCTGGGGAAGGACGGGGGTTTGGGTGTGGATCTGGGGAAGGTATTCGAAGATTTACCCCCTGAAGACTTCCTGATTATGGGTGGAGGTCCGGAGAGCGAGCGGTTGGTTTTCACTTCAGATTTCGATGACAGCAGGGAACCAGTTTTCGAGGACTGAGATTTCGGGGAGTTACCGGTCGTGGTTCTACTTAAAAGAGCAGGTTTAGATGCTGGACACGGAGGGGTGGCTCTAGAAGAAGCTCCAGAATCTGAGCCGGAGGTCACCGGCCCAGATTTGGGAGTCTGCGGGGATCCAGAGGAGGTTTTGTGCTGCTGGTCCTGAGGCGAGGCGGACTCCCTGCTGCCGGTGTTCGCGGCCGCCTGCAGGATCCGGCGTTTCTCCTCCCTGATGATCCTCTCCCGCTCCTCCCGGCACTGCCTCAGTTTGCCGTGTCTCTCCTTCTCGAAGACTTCAAACAGACCCGTCGCGACTCTCATGGATCGACCCGGAGCCTCGCGGGCGAAGTCGGCCAGCGGGCGGTGCAGCAGCTCTACCGGTTTCACCCCACATCGAGCGCAGGCCTCCAGGGAGTGAGGGCTCGTCAGCACGTAGCGACTGCCCTCCGCCACGGGGGACTCGAAGTTGTACAGGTCCAGGTGGAGTTTTGGTGAAGGAGGTCTGTCAGTATGAGTCTGTGTTTGCTCAGGAGGAGGGGGCTGAGTCTCAGGAGGAGGGGGCTGAGTCTCAGGAGGAGGGGGCGGAGTCTCAGAAGTCGGGGGGGAAGCCACGTGGCAGGGGCTCGCCACGGAGCTGCCGGACGGCGGCGTCTCGAACCCAGCGTCCCCGTCCTCCTCTGTGGTGCCATCAGCCTGGTCGGGCAGCCGGGGGTCTTCAGCTGGAGCACTGAGCTGCGGACCTTTACACTGATCCTCAGCCTCCGAGGGGTCAACCATAGTTGGCGAATACTGCAGGAAAAGTGAGGCGGGGGGGGTATGATATGTGACGGGACATGGATAAAAAGAGTTTTCTATTAGAGGATTACTCAGTCCAGAGCTTAAGAGATGCAGTCAGTGGGGGAGGGTCACAGATGCATGCATGCATGCATGCATGCATGCATGAGCACATATTCATGCACTGATTTTTACACCAGATGAGACATTTCCCCTTCAGGGATCTGACACAACACACATGCAAAAACACACCAGAGTTCTTTAATAGAGGAGAGGCTATTTTTGGCAGAGTTACTGGGCTGAGAGAATTTGATTACTCATAGCAATATGTTTCACTCTACATCACAATCAATCTAAAAATACATTTAGATTCAAACCAGGTCCTGCAATGTATAAATTATGAACAAGTTGGTAGTAAAAGCTGGATGTAAAACGGGACATTATATGAGGTAAACAAGCTGCTCACACCAAGGCCTTCACACTTTACTGTATCAGCAGTAGGAAATATCCTCACTTTCAAACGATAGAAACGAAACTAAATGCAGATTATATTAACGATGTTTAGCCCCTGTTAGCTGCTGTGTTAAAAAGGTAGTTTTTACCACATTTACTGCAGTTTCATCCCGTGCTTTGGTTGTTTTTCATGCAGTGTCGCACCACACAGACACCCACTGACCTGCCAGTTCGTAAAAGGTGTTTTAAAGCAGTGCTTTGTTCCCCTTGTGTCCATGCAGAGCGCCTGGTTCCCCGCATAATATCAGGCTATTTCAGGGAGAGAGGCTGCGGCCGATGGAGCTTCACATCCCCGCGACCTGCAGACAGACAGACGGCCTCTCACTGCGCGGCGAGAATCTGCGAGAATAGAAAAGTAAAAATGGTGCACGGGTTGAGTGAAATGTAGGCTATTTCCCACGTCGAAAAATGTCAAATCTGATTCCCAGGTCCCTCCGATCGTCCCTCAGCTGTACCGAGCATCCACCTGCTTCAGCAGCATCTCCATCTCAGCCTGCTTAGCTCCGCCTGCTTGAGCCACATATGCTAAAGAAATACGGTGTGCACGGTGCAATCAACCAAGCGCTCACACAGTCACATTACATGCGTTTGACATGTGATGTAATAATTAAAGGTGTTGATTATGTTAAGGGGAAAGTTGTTTTTAAAGGCCTGTTATTCTACCTGAGAGATCAAATGTTATAATATTAAATTAAACCAGTAATACGCTTCGTTATTTGAGATTTGTTTACTAGGGAATACAACAATTAGCATAACAAATGTACAATAGATTGTACGAAATGTGACCATATCTTTGTATAAATTGAGATTTGATGTGTGCAGGCTGCTCCATCAGAATTCACAGCTGCCATCCTGTCATCCTGGTTATTTGTGGAATTACAAACACTGTAATTACTACACTCGGCCACTAGAGGGCGCGGTTACACCAGAGATATATGTGTTTGGTATCCTGCAGACAAAGGAGGGCCAGCAGCCAATCAGCATCACACACACAATATAGACACCCTTCTGTTATATCTGTCTCTAAACGTGATGAATGTAATGGAGTTTTGTGTTGAGTTTCACACACAAGCATTACAAAAAACATAAAACATCACATCAATTTCAACCAAACAGTTGTCAATAAGGTGCGTTAGGTTAACAATCAACATATACTTAATAGCACATATGCATATATTTTTTTCTTCAAGTTTAATTAAAAAAATTATTCATGCCTGAATTATTTGAAGCTGCTTCATTTTCAGGGTCCTCGTATTGTACAAGCTGTCTCATTGCACACATACTACGACACTTGAAAACAACCAACAATCTTATTAGCAACACTTTATCTGATGAATATCTCATGATAAAAAGCAGCCTATTGATTGTATGATTGTCTGTGTTGCTTTTACATAAGGAAAACCACCAGAGTGTAGGAATACTCTGTTACAGTAAAAGTCCTGCATTCAAAATGTTCCTCAAGTAAAAGTAGAAAATGTAGTGGAGGAAAAGTACACCATTTACCTCTGAACTGTAGTGGAGAAGAAGAAGTACAACGCAGCAAACAATTGAAAAACGGAACTATAGTACAAGTACCTCAAAGTTGTACTTAAGTACTTGAGTAAATGTACTTAGTTACTTCCCACCCCTGTTTCTTTCCTCACTTCTTCACGTATTCACAGAAAGTGTCTTTATCCAGACAGTCCGGTTTACCCAGGATTAGATAACTCAGAGTGAGGGTCCCAGAGATTCTGGTGACCCACTAAACTCCTGACCCGGTGTGGGGAACAGTGCGGGTTTAATTGGCCCCGCCCGGGACCCTTGTGAGGAGCGAGTGACCGCAGGCCGCCTGCTGGCTTGTTAAGCGGGGGCACGCTGCACAGGTCACTGCTGCGGGGGTATGTCCTCCTCACCATCTCTGTTTTTGTTTTTGGTAGGGCATGAACCCCCAGCACCAGGGCTGGACTGGGGGTTCATCGAGAGGTGAGCCGCTCTCTGCTGTCATGGAGACCACTGCCACGCTGAGGCCTGCACAGAGAACTTTAAAATAGTGCCGTCTAGATTAAAAAAAGTAATAATAATCTGTGATTTCTGAATGACTGGCCTGAAGTCAGACAATGGACAGAGCCACTGTCACAGGCTGTGACCCCCCTCGGTGTAATGTACGTCACACAGGACATATCTCTGCCGCTATCGTACTGCAGCTCTATCTGTTCCTGCAGTGGTGACCCTGTGTAGTATTTCCAACTCCAGTGTAACTTCAAGAAGCTGTAACATGCCCCCCCCCCCCCCCCCCCCCCCCCCCCACACACTAGTCTGATAGCTTCCAATATAGATCAAATAGTTCACAAGCACTAAAATGAAGACATTCTTTTCTTTATATTGTGTTCTCTATAACATTGGGACATTATTCAACTATCAACCTGGAGGTACAGACACAGAAAGGCACAGTAGGGTTTCTGACTTTTCTTGCTCCTGTACTTTATTATCTTTCTTATGTTTGTGTATTTCAAATGATGCAAATTCACTTCAAAACAAAGTGCAGGCAGAATCTGCGTTGTGCCGTTCCCTCCTCTGCAGGAAGCCTATTTTTTTACACAGAGGCAACAAACCCAACCAAGAGATCAGAGACAGACAGAACTCTGGGAACTCGGACAATAATCACCTCTGGTTTCATGACTCAGCAGCCTCGGCTGAGATGAGTTCAGCCGTTTGATTTCCCTTCAGGACGGAGATCTGATTCTCAGCTCTACGTGTGTGCTGGACTTTGACAAGTGTGGATAAAGACATGGCAAACAGTTTTACAGACCTGGACATAAAACGGATATTCATACTGCATGTCCACCTCTCAGGAGGGCGACTGATTTTCCACATTATTATACTTTACCACTATTGTAGTGGACCGTGCCAAGAGGACACTGTAGGGGAGTTCGCTCAGAGCAGAACATTTTTATAAGGTGGATAATGCTGTTCAGTGAACCGAGTGGGATGATAAAACATGTTCATGTCATCTATTATTATATAGATCTATATATCCAACATTTACAAGCATTGCTCCAAAGCAGTGCTGGAAGTAATACTCTGATTCTTTAAATTGTAAAAACTCCTGCATTCAAAACGTACTTAAACATTCAATACTCATGTTCAGGTGTATATCAGTATGTAGTGTCTCTACTTTAAAGAGTCCTCTCCTGCTGATGTTCAGGTGTATATCAGTATGTAGTGTCTCTACTTTAAAGAGTCCTCTCCTGCTGATGTTCAGGTGTATATCAGTATGTAGTGTCTCTACTTTAAAGAGTCCTCTCCTGCTGATGTTCAGGTGTATATCAGTATGTAGTGTCTCTACTTTAAAGAGTCCTCTCCTGCTGATGTTCAGGTGTATATCAGTATGTAGTGTCTCTACTTTAAAGAGTCCTCTCCTGCTGATGTTCAGGTGTATATCAGTATGTAGTGTCTCTACTTTAAAGAGTCCTCTCCTGCTGATGTTCAGGTGTATATCAGTATGTAGTGTCTCTACTTTGAAGAGTCCTCTCCTGCTGATGTTCAGGTGTATATCAGTATGTAGTGTCTCTACTTTAAAGAGTCCTCTCCTGCTGATGTTCAGGTGTATATCAGTATGTAGTGTCTTCTACTTTAAAGAGTCCTCTCCTGCTGATGTTCAGGTGTATATCAGTATGTAGTGTCTCTACTTAAAGAGTCCTCTCCTGCTGATGTTCAGGTGTATATCAGTATGTAGTGTCTCTACTTTAAAGAGTCCTCTCCTGCTGATGTTCAGGTGTATATCAGTATGTAGTGTCTCTACTTTAAAGAGTCCTCTCCTGCTGATGTTCAGGTGTATATCAGTATGTAGTGTCTCTACTTTAAAGAGTCCTCTCCTGCTGATGTTCAGGTGTATATCAGTATGTGTGTCTCTACTTTAAAGAGTCCTCTCCTGCTGATGTTCAGGTGTATATCAGTATGTACTGTCTCTACTTTAAAGAGTCCTCTCCTGCTGATGTTCAGGTGTATATCAGTATGTAGTGTCTCTACTTTAAAGAGTCCTCTCCTGCTGATGTTCAGGTGTATATCAGTATGTAGTGTCTCTACTTTAAGAGTCCTCTCCTGCTGATGTTCAGGTGTATATCAGTGTGTAGTGTCTCTACTTTAAAGAGTCCCTCTCACTGCTGATGTTCAGGTGTATATCAGTATGTAGTGTCTCTACTTTAAAGAGTCCTCTCCTGCTGATGTTCAGGTGTATATCAGTATGTAGTGTCTCTACTTTAAAGAGTCCTCTCCTGCTGATGTTCAGGTGTATATCAGTATGTAGTGTCTCTACTTTAAAGAGTCCTCTCCCTGCTGATGTTCAGGTGTATATCAGTATGTAGTGTCTCTACTTTAAAGAGTCCCTCTCCTGCTGATGTTCAGGTGTATATCAGTATGTACTGTCTCTACTTTAAAGAGTCCTCTCCTGCTGATGTTCAGGTGTATATCAGTATGTAGTGTCTCTACTTTAAAGAGTCCTCTCCTGCTGATGTTCAGGTGTATATCAGTATGTAGTGTCTCTACTTTAAAGAGTCCTCTCCTGCTGATGTTCAGGTGTATATCAGTATGTAGTGTCTCTACTTTAAAGAGTCCTCTCCTGCTGATGTTCAGGTGTATATCAGTATGTAGTGGTCTCTACTTTAAAGAGTCCTCTCCTGCTGATGTTTCAGGTGTATATCAGTATGTAGTGTCTCTACTTTAAAGAGTCCTCTCCTGCTGATGTTCAGGTGTATATCAGTATGTAGTGTCTCTACTTTAAAGAGTCCTCTCCTGCTGATGTTCAGGTGTATATCAGTATGTAGTGTCTCTACTTTAAAGAGTCCTCTCCTGCTGATGTTCAGGTGTATATCAGTATGTAGTGTCTCTACTTTAAAGAGTCCTCTCCTGCTGATGTTCAGGTGTATATCAGTATGTAGTGTCTCTACTTTAAAGAGTCCTCTCCTGCTGATGTTCAGGTGTATATCAGTATGTAGTGTCTCTACTTTAAAGAGTCCTCTCCTGCTGATGTTCAGGTGTATATCAGTATGTAGTGTCTCTACATGTCTCCATGCTTTAATGTTCAAAAAGCTCTTTATTTTTCTCATACTGTCTGTGCTGCAGCGCATCTTTTCACCCTCTGTCTGAAACCAGAGCCCGGTCTGCTCTGATTGGTTAGCTGGCCGGCTCTGTTGTGATTGGTCAACCTGCTTAGAGATGTGGGGACAATGTGTGGGAGCGCTAGCCAATCGGAGCGCGAGTGTTCCATAGTGATGTCACTATGTTGCGGAAGTAAACAAAGTATTCCAATGGAGGCGTTTCAGGCAGGGGGGGGGGGGACACAGGGATTTTAACCTTTTGCA